CAATTCAATTATACATCTATTCATTAAAAATACAGACTTTTTCCATGCCGGAAATATTCCATTAAGGTAATGTGGTGAAGGTCGATATTTAATTGTCTGATAGTGCAAATTGGTCTTGGTTCTTTTTAATCAGCGTATCAGTAATACCAGCTTGTTTGTATCGCAACGTGCATAGCAACGAAAAATAATGGTGATACCATCTATATCTATCCTTTTGATCCACTCACAAACCCCACCCCTCTGAAAATATTTGACGCTGACAGGTATTCTAATGAAGCTGAATCATAATTGTTAATCCACTTTCAGCATGTTATTAGCGTAACCTGTATTTTCACATATAAAATAAATGTACGCCCCACTCCTCAAAATAAGTACATTGGCCCTAATACCTAACACAGCTTTTGAATAATTTCGATCTAGAATTATGATTTCTTTTTTTAAAGATAACAAGCGTTTTCACAAACATCACAAACCAAAACGAAGCAAACAAGCTAATTTAGAGGCGGGGATCCTGGGAGAAGGGGGGTGGTGGGGTTTGACAAGGGTCACAGTGCCCCCAACCTTTCTAAGTACCCCAAAAGGGCACTTTTGAACAAAGAAAAAGTGCCTCCTTTTACTTCATCTTTCTGTTTAAAGCCCTTGAAGATTGATCTGTTAAGTAATTTATGTTTTTGTTTCAATCATATTGAAATAGCCACCATGTGCTTGATTTTATTTTATAGCCGTTTTACTTTTTATCCGTTTTAATAAATACATGATTCCTTTCTAGATTTAGATAATTAATTAAGTTGTTTAGAAGGATGTTTTTTTCATTTAAATTAATGCAAATTCGTTATAATAAAGTTAAACAATTAAATTTAAAGATGATTCATAGGAATTTTGCCTCAAAAGAAAATTTATATAAATGGCAAACGGTGAATAATAATTTATGCAACACTTGTGAAAAAGTCGATGCAACGTTTCACTTTTTGTTTGTATAACAGGGATATGATTATGTTTTGGAAACTAATTTGTAATTTGATATTCCACTTATTCCAAGTAAAACTTCGAATGAACCAAAATATATCAGTTGTACGTAAGGGCATAGCCTATAGTCCGGCAGCCCAGAGCACTTTGATCAAACGAACGAGGTAACAATATCTGAGTATTGGAACATTTGGAAAAAAGCCTAGGATATCAAAATGTGGACGTCTGCCGGAGTCCCTCTGCTGCATGTGGCCCCTGGAGCCAGTTGAGGGGGGCCAAAAAATGCATCTGATCAAACGAACGAGGTACCACTTGAAACCAATGTTAACTAATTGTATGAATGCCACAGAGTACTGAATGGCCCATGCCAGACACAATTTCTGCTGCTAAGGGCCCGCCAGACGCCCCCATAGGGGGCCCCTACAAAATGCATTTGCTCAAACGAACGAGGTACCACCTGAAACCAGTGTTAACTAAATACATGAATGCCACAGAGCACTGAATGACCCATGTCAGACAAAATACAATTACGGGGAAAAAACAACGAACCAAAAAACAAAAACAGGGAACTACTTAATATTCTGATTCGTTTGCAACAAAAAGTGCTTGAGGGCATTGTTGAAACCACTTATAGAGGGTTTTTTCTTTTAATGTGCCGGGAAGGGCATTCCAATATTTTGGGCCAGTGAAAGTGAAAATCCTGCTGGAAAATACAGTTCTTGGTTTTGGTAGGTGATAACATTAGCATCATTAGCCATTATCTTAATCATCATTTTTCTGTTCTTGTTCTATTTGTTTATGCAATGTTAACATTTTTTATAAACACAGGCTAAAGACCAAAAGATCGGTGTAATGTTGAAGTTGCTGTTTGGCACTGTAACCTGTTTGTCCTTTGGTAAGAAAAAGTGTGACTTCATAATTATATACGTCATATTTTCATGATTGTACGAATATTGCTGAAAAGGTTGGCTCATAAAATTATCATTATGAAGCGAAATAGGAGCGAGGTGTAAAATCTACGTGGGATCTCTAATAAATAGTTTGACGTTTGGAAAATTCCCCCTAATGAATGTTTCAAACTATTGTAAGGGAAATTTCAATCATAAGGGGTAGGGGAGGGGAAGAATAAATAGGAGATGGGGAAGGGGGAAAGGAAGGAGAGATGGTGAAAGGTGACGGGGAGGAAGAGGTGGAAGAGAAGGAGGTTGAGGAGGAAGAGGAGGAGAATGAGGGGAATATGGGAGAAAGAGAATGATACTAAAGGGGGAGAGGAACAGGTGGAAGAGGAGGAGGTAGAAGAGGAAGAAGATGGGGGAGGAAGAGGGGAGGCGGTGAGGAGGAGGGGAGGCGGTGAGGAGGAGGGGGGTTGGTGAGTAGGAGGGGAGGCGGTGAGGAGGAGGGAAGGCTGAGAAAGGGGGAGGTAGAAGAGGAGGGACAGCGGGAAGAGGAGGAGGAGGGGAGGCAAGGGAGAAAGAGGAAGGATTGGGGAGGGGAATAGGAGGAGGGAGAGCAGTAGGAGGAAGAGCTCACTAGCGATTTTTTTTTTTTTTTTTTTTTTTTTTTTTTTTTTGGTGTTTATTCCACACAGCCTTGCCCGCTTTATCGGATTCGTCGAAGCTGACGAAAACATCTTGTCCAGGCAAGTTCAGCAAGCAAAGCACCTTGCCGACATCCTTTAATTGTAAGATGGTGCGACTGCCCGATGGCACCATGTTGCAGACCGTCCCAAAACTCTTCTCTACCCCTGCCGTCTTCGCTGGAAAAATTCCTGGCCAACACATAATATGCAGAATCCCGGGTAAATCTCATGCTTCCTTGGTTTCATTTTTGTTATAAAATATCAAATCCCTTAAAAAAAGCTAATCAATCAATAATAGTACAGATCATACATTTTTAATTGACATTATAAATATCCGATCCAACTATCATTAAAACTACTAACAATACTATACGAATACTACTAGAGGTCTACCACCACTACTATAAATACAACTACTACGACTATGCTACTACTACTACTACTACTACTACTACTACTACTACTACTACTAAATGTTTACTACTATTACTACCACTACAATTACTACTACCACTGCAACTACTACTACTACTACTACTATTACTACTACTACTACTACTACTACTACTACTACTACTACCTCTACTACTACCTCTACTACTACCACTACTACTACTACTACTACTACTACAACTACTACTACTCCTTCGACTTCTACGACTTCTACTACTACTACTATTTGAAATTCCTCTCTAGATGTTTAGTAAAATCTATCGAAAATAATGAAAGGAACATCAAATTATCTAGCAAAACAATATTCTGATGCGAGACGAGCAACAATATTAATTTTGTGAATTCGTATTCACCAAATAATATTCTCTTTTTTTCCTTCGCTATCAAGTACCAGAATTTGAAAACAGTGTGAAATAATTATTGTTTTCTCACTTGAATTAAGGCCTAAATGGATGGGCTAAAGTAATTGTTAAGTGCTAGAAAAACCAGTGACAAACTTCGCGGTCTCGGTTCTAAAAAATTTCTTTATTTTTAGGCCGCTTTTTCTATATCACGATTTCTTTTATTACAGTACAGGTACGTAGGAAGATTTAAAAAGGGCAAGGTTGTACGACACTTGTTTCTGACGAAAATTGCTCTACGTTAATTTCTTAAAGGGGAATCCAAATCTTGTTAAATATTCATTTGTATAAAAGTAGAAAAGTAAGAGAAAAAGATTGGCAAAATAAATCGAATTAACTCCAAGGGAGTTATGAATGATTGAAATATGAGATCACTAAATGTATGCCAATCTCCAATTGATTGTGACATAGTCATGGACAACTTTCCCGTTCGTCGTGGATAAAAATGGTTAGAAGTGCCTTCTTCCTTGGGGCAGTAGGCAAAATATATTTCGGATAGCACATTATCATCGGTTCTCTCAAATGGAAAGGCCCTCCAGAGTCAAGCATTTGGAAAAATTAACATTTTAGTCATTTTGTGTGTTGAAACAAATTTTCTTATTTTTTATCCGATTCCATTCGAACTTTCATCAGTCTGCATCTCTGATATTTCTGCTTTCTTTTAGAGTAGTTGTCTATTATGATTGGGTTTTCCTGTAACTGTAACAAACACTATACCTGACCCTAACTCTAATCCTAACCTTAAAGCCAATTGCAACTCTTACCCTAATCATAAACCTTTGACAAAATAAAGCCAGGAACAATTAACGGGGGATTTATTAAAAAAATAGTCGGGAAGGGCTGTGAATTACACCAGGCAAAACAGTGAATTTAGAGAATGGGCACTGACACCAATGAAATGGGTATCCGATGGCTATGGAGTATGGTCTCCGTGGCGTTTGACATGTTTAAGCCCTGGTAAAAATGCATTATCATTAGTCTTGCTATATCTTTTTTATGTTAATTTGTGAAAATCCCGAAAATATATCTTTTCACACCAAACAGAACAAAGTGTAATGATAATTTGTTAATCAATATTAAGTTTTATCCCGTTTATTACTTATTTCGCAGATTGTGGCAAAAATCTCTGTAAAAACGGCTGTTGTGAGGAGACTATGGTAGGCTACAACTGTACCTGCTCAAGTGGGTTTCAAGGGAAACACTGCGATGAACGTAGGTGTAATATCAACATAGACGTATCAGGGGAGGGGGAGGGGTGGCTAATTAATGAACAAAGAGCATGAAGAGATTTTCTACAGGGGGTAAACGAAATTCAGTAGTTACAACTGAAGAAGAAGAAGAAGTAAAATATGAAGTTTAAGAAGAAAAAAAGCTCGCGGTCCTCTTTCGGAATTTGTTGATAGAATTGGGATTCCCACAGGAAAAATGTTTTCCGATTTCTATTTGTTCCCCCACACCCCCCCCCCCCCCCCCCCCCCGCTTTGATCCTATCCCCTCTCCCTGACCAAGAGCGCCTGGAGACAGCCGGCGGTAAGATAATTTCAGAGGAGATATAATGCCTTGTCATCGACTCCATGTTTTTTTCTTCTTCACAGAGTCAACGGAGGAAGCGACGAACAAGCCTACGACGAGCCCTTCGACTACGATGACGGAACGCTCAGACACAACGACATCTCAAAGCACCACTACCTCTGGTATGTCTAGGCAGGGGCGGCCGAGCGACTTCCAAAGTGAGGGGGCACTAACAAAAAAGGGCACTTTCTGGAAAAAAAGGGGCACCTACAGTGGGAAATCTCAAAGCGAAAATATACAATTTTTTAGACATTGGTATATACCCCTACATTGTGATTACATTATCAGGGATGATTTCAATATTTGTTTCTCTTCATACATCATACAAGATATCGCTTAAGCATCATACTTTACAGTTGGGTGTGATGTCTGAATATGCATTTACGAGCGAGCGAAGCGAGCGAGAAAAATTTTAAAGATCTGTGAGGTCGCAGTGTGAAAAATTACATCTTATAGAGAGGAAAAAAGCCAATCGTGATTGGGTTATAAGCACATTCTCATAACGGAAGACTGAAAAGACCTTTGATAATAATAATAATAATAGCTAGTTCTTATATAGCGCTTTTCAGGACCGAAGGCCCTCTCAAAGTGCTTTACAGATATATATATATTATTACCCCGGTCATAGGATTCAGGCTTACCCGCACAGCGAGCGAACTTTGGGGGAAATTGCTCTTAGTCGCTTTAAATAAGGGGCACGTTTAATGATTACATGAAAAGGGGACAATTATCGAAAGGGATAAGACACTTATTAGAAAAGAAAAGGAGCACGTGTCAAAGTACAAAGGATAATTATAAGGGTGAAAATGAGGCATTTTTTTCACCTATAAAGAGGCACTCACCAGTGATGAAAAAGAGGCGTTTACGAAAATAGGAAATAGGCATTTGTTGACGGAAAAGGGACACCCATCAGATTTTGATAAGGGCATTTATAAGAGGTGAAAAGGGGATAGGTCCCTTATTAGAAAGGAAAAGGGGCACGTATCATTATTAAAAGGGGAATTATCAGAGTTGAAAGGGGCACTGACCAGATATGAAAAGGGGCACTTATGAAAATGTAAAGGGGGCACTTATAATAAAGGAAAATGTGCATTTGGTGAATGAAAAGGGGGCACTTTTCAGATTTTTAAAAGGGGCAGTTATGAGAAGGGGAATGAGCTCTTTCTTTTTAATGGGGGCACTTATCATAAGGAAAAGGGACACTTATTAGAAAGGGAAAGGGGTAGTTGTGAGAAGGGGAAGGAGCTCTCTCTTTTTAATGGGGCACTTATCATAAGGAAAAGGGGCACTTATTCGAAAATAAGAGGGGCACATGTTAAAATGAAAGGTGTGCTCATCCGAGTTTAAAAAAGGGGTAGTTATTAAAAAGGAGAAGGGGCACTTCTTACAAAGGAAAAAGGGGAAGTTGTCAAAGTAAAAGGAGCACCTTTCGGTTTTTAATAAGGCAATAATCAGAGGTGAAGGGGGCACTTATTAAAAGTGAAAAGGGGCACTTCTCGTACCTGAAAAGAGGCACTTCCTAGATATTGAAAAGGGCACTTATTCAAGATAATTTCAAGATTGATGAGAATGGAAAATGGACACTTATTGCAAAGGAAAATGGGAACATGTCGAAGGAAAAAGGGCACGTGTCAAAAATAAAAAGGGCACTCGTCAGAGGTGAAAAGGGGGAAGGGGCACTTTTACTAAGTAATAGGGGCACTTTTCAAAGTAAAAGGGGCACCTTTCCTATGTAAAAGGGGGCACTTCTTACAAAATAAAAGGGGCACTTTTCCTATCTAAAAAGGGGCACTTTTGGGTATCTGAAAAAGTGGGGGGGGCACTGTGCCCCCCTGCCCCCCCCCCCCCGGGAGGGCCGCCTCTGTGTCTAGGCAATAGCTTCATGGAAATGACGTCATGCATTTGATTATTATCATAATGGGTCTAGCCACTATATCCCCTTTTTTTCTCTCTCCCTCTCTCTCGGTCTTTATCTGATTTGATATACCTCACTTAAGGAATCCAGCCATCTGATTGGTCGAAATTGGAGTCGTGATTTTGGCCATTCCCGTAAAGAAACAAAAAATGCCAATACCGGTTAATAGTCCAAAAGTGAGATCCCTCAAAATTTCGGTTACCATGAAAATAGTAAAATTTGCTGCGATACCCACTATGGTTTAAGTGTTAAAATTTCCCTTCTGCGACGCGTGTTTTAACCGATCTTTACTCAATAAAAGAATAAGGTGAGAATTCTTGGTAGATTTTTGTTTCAATTCAGCATATTGAAGACATATCGAATGCTTTAATATTCGAGGTCTGGCTGATGTATAGGCTCTCGAGAGCTTGCACATCTTGAGCCTATTAAACAGCAAGGCCTCTTGAAGCAGTCGATATCTCTATACTATTTTTCGGTCCTTTCGGGGCGTCACTAAAACATTTTCTTTAAGGAGGGGGGGGGGGAGTGACCGTCTAATTCTTATTTTTATAGTCTTATTTTTATTTGTCCTTCTTTCAGGAGCGTCGCTAAAACACTTGAGAAGGGGACAGTGTACGTTAATTATTTAAATATATATTTTGCCTATAAGTTTAACGACAACTTTCTTGATGCTGTTATTGTTCTTCTTCCCTCTTCGCACATTCTTTGTCTCTATCTATTTGTTTTTCTATCATTTCCTGACTCCGGCTCTCTTTTCCCCACTCAATTTAATACATTTTTTTCCATTTCGTTCACAATGGGAAGTGAAAACCAAGTCCGCGACGAAACCACAACTTCCAGTAAGAGAAACATTAAAATGACGTCATGTGATTAATATCACGATGGCCCGAATTCACAAAGAAGGTTTGTCGACAAACCTCCTTGAATTCGGGCCTCTAGGTTTAGCCACTATAGTCTCTCTCTCTCTCTCTCTCTCTCTCTCTCTCCTTTCTCTCTGTCTGTCTGTCTGTCTCTCTGTCTCTCTGTCTCTGTCTCTCTCTATCTGTATATCTCAGTCTTTATCTGACTTTTTAAAAGTCCTTTCCTATCTCGGGCGTCGGTAAAACATTTGTTTAAGGGGTAAGTGACCGTCTAATTATTTTGTCCACGCGTTTAACAACAATTAGGCACGCCATATCAATACATTTAGATAAATGATTTGGCAAAATAAGACCCTTTGACTTAGACCCACTAAACCCAATGTCCTGACACAAACTATACAGTCCTCATAAAATAAATAAACTGTTAAAGTTTATTTTTTTTAAATGTTCTTCGTTTTGGCCTTCTATTCCTGTTGAGGTGTCATTCCTAATGTTATTACTTTAAACGTGTGGCTTCATTTTTTATAAACGTTTCAGAGTCAGTGGAATCATCGACTACGGACGTGGCGACCAAGACATCTACGAGGCCTATGACCACGGTGTCAGCCACAACGACATCGCCAGAAACCACCGCCTCCAGTAAGTAAGAGAAACAATGAAATGATGTCATGCTTTCGATCATTATTATAATGTGTCAAGCCAATACCCCCCTCTCTCTCTCTCTCTCTCTCTCTCTCCCTTTCTCTCTTTCCACTCCCCCTTCACCACCCTCACCCCTTCATTGACCACTCCCTCCACCCCTCCGCCTTTCTCTCTTTCTTCATCTCTCTTTCAGTCTTTATCTTCTTCTATACTCTTCGCGCGTTCTGTGTCTCTGTATGTCTATTTCCAAATCATTCCCTGACTCCGGCTCCCCCACTCATTGAACAATTTTTTCTTTGTTTTTTATTCCGTTCAGATTCGGCGAAAACGGAAGCCAAAACCAAGTCCGAGCCGAGCCCTACGATCACGATACCGAAACGATCAGAGGCAACGACATCGCAAGTAACCACCACCTCCAGTAAGAGAAACAACTTTCCCCTCTCTCTCTCTCTCTCTCTCTCTCTCTCACTCCACCCCTTCTCCCCCCCCCCCCCCCCCCTCTCTCTCTCTCTCTCTCTCTCCCTCTCTTTCTCTCTCTCAGTTTTTATCTCTTTCCTGTCACGGGCGTCGCTAAAACCTTATTTAGGGGCAGGTAACCGTCTCATTCGTTCGCCCACGAGTTTAATGACAACAAACACATTTAGATAAATTATTCGGTAAAATTTTACTTGGGCTTTGACAAAGCACCACTTAATCTAGAAACACAATTTATTTTTTGTCAGGGAGCAGAATTTTCTTCATTTTGGTCCTCTACAATCATGTATAGGTTGTCATTCATAATCTCAGTGCTTTGTATTTTTGGTTTCATTTGTTACAACCTTCAAACGTTTCAGAGTCAGCAGAATTATCGACTACGGACGCGACGGGCAAGCCCATGACGAGCCCTACGACCACGATATCAGACACAACAACATCGCAAGACACCATCACATCCAGTAAGTATGCTTTTGATCTTTAATATAATTTGTCTAGCCACTACCCCCTTCTCTCTCTTTCTCTCTCCTTCTCTCTCTCTCTCTTCCTCTCTCTATCCCGTCCCCTTCACCACCCGTCTCCTTCTACTGGCCACCTAACCTCCACCCCTCCCCTTTTCTCTCTCTTCATCTCTCTTTTAGTCTTTATCTGACTCTGAGTAAGAGAAACAATGCAATAAATTCAGTGGTAGGTCTAGCAACTATTACTCTCCACTCTCTCTCTCTCTCTCTCTCTCTCTCTGTCTCTCTCTCTCTCTCTCTCTCTCTATCTCCCTCCCCCTCTCTCTCTCTCTCTCTCTTTCTCTTTCTCTCTCTCTCTCTATATCTCCCTCCCTCCCTCCTCTCCTCCCCACCCCTCCTCTCCTCCCCTCTTTCATTCATAAACAAACAAAAAAATATATAAGAAATAACATTGTGAATTTCCTAAAATTTGCAATGTAAGCTATAACCAGTTTTGGAAACGCCCCCTCTAAAAAAAATGTAATGGAAGCTCTTATTACTAATCATGTGAAAGAATAATTTTTGACTAAGTACGTGATGATACAAATTGTGCCGGTAATTTTACCAGTACGACAATACAAGACGGTGGCCGGTACTGCAACTGAAGGAGAAGAAGAAGAAGAAGAAGAAGAAGAAGAAGATGATGCTGATGATGATAATGATTAAAAAGAAAAGTAACTCGCGGTCCTCTTTTCGAACTTTTTGATAGAATTGGGATTCCCACAGGAAAAGCATTTTCTGATTTCTATTCCCCCCCCCCCCCACTTGATCCTATCCCCGTACCCTGACTAAGAAAATGCTTTCCCCTCTCTTTCTCCCCCCCCCCCTCCCCCTCAGCCTTTATCCCTTTCCTGTCACGGGCTTCGCTAAAAGGAGGAGGTACCCGTCTCGTTCGTTTGCCCACGAGTTTAATGACAACAAACACGCCATAGGAACACATTTAGATATATTAATTGGACAAAATTATCTTGGGCTTTGACAAAGCACCACTAAATTAGCTGACACAAAATAATACCTTATAAAATAAATAAACTAATACAATTTATATGTTGTCAGGGAGCACAATTGTCTTCGTTTTGGCCTTCTGTAATCATGTTCAGGTTGTCATTCATAATCATAATGCTTTGTAAGTGTGGTTTCATTTGCAACAACCTTCAAACGTTTCAGAGTCAGCAGATTTATCGACTACGGACGTGGCGACCAAGACGGCTACGAGGCCTATGACCACGGTGTCAGCCACAACGACATCGCAAGAAACCACCGCCTCCAGTAAGTAAGAGAAACAATGAAATGATGTCATGCTTTCGATCATTATTATAATGTGTCAAGCAACTACACCTTCCCTCTCTTTCTCTATCTCCCCCTCTCCCTCTTTCTCCCCTCCCTATTCACCGACCACCCCCTCCATCCCTCTTTCGCTCTCTCTTCATCTTTGTGTGTTAGTCGAGTGGTTTAAGCATTTGACTTGAAATTCAAAGGTCGTGGTTCAATCCCCGACACGGCATTAATGTCCTTTGGCAAGGCATCAATCTCCATTTGCCACACCCGACCCAGATGAGATAAATGGGAACCTAGTAAGAATTAATTCCTTGAAATACTGGAGCGCCGTAATGGCAGCAAGGCTAAAGCCGGGTTAATTATTAGTGCGCCTCGGAATATAGTTGTCTAGAAAGATGCTATATAAATGCCTTTTAATATTGTCACTCTTTCAGTCTTTATCCGAGTCTGAGTAATAGAAACAATACATTGACGTCATGCATTTGATCATCATTATAATGGGTCTTGCCACTACCACTTTCCCCTTCTCTCTATCTCTCTGTCTGTCTGTCTGCCTCTCTCACTCGCTCTTTCTCTCGCTCTCGCTCTCTCCCTTCCCTCCTCCTCCCCTATGTTTCATTCATAAAAACAAAAATAACTGTATGAAATACCATTGATATCTGCGATGGTGAGCAAATTTCCTGTAGGTATTGATTTTTATAGCTATAATTTTGTTCATGTCTTTGCATCGACTTTTATTATTATTATTATTTTCGTCATCATCATCATCATTATCTATTTTTCTTTAAATATTTCAGTTTCTACCCAAATAAACACTTTGTCTACTTTCTTAAAATTGAGTAATTTACATATTGTATTTTCATCTTTTCAGCATGCTCATCCCCTCCGGTGGATTGTGAATTCGGCGGGTCCTTCTACAATTTCAGCACTCGCTGGGTGAATCATGCTTCCGCGGTTTCAGCTTGTTCCCAATACGGATCCCATCTGGTCTTTATCGAGTCGCAAGAGGAAGAGGACTTCATCGCGCGGAGTGTTCAGTACCTCAGTGACTCGAACATTTATTTCTACTGGATCGGGCTGACCGGCTTGAGTCCCAGTGAGACAAGGTGGCTAGACGGATCGAGTCTTACATATAGCAATTTTGACCAGTATTCGTTCGATGATAATGTAAACTGTTTTCGTATTCGGTGTAAGGGTCAATATAGTGTATGGCGTGATCGGTATTGCTCCATACAAGTAAGATTCATATGCGAGAAAGAAGTGGGGATATAAAAATTGAATTTGTTTATTCCAATTTTTCATACCACCTGGTTGCACCACTGATTGCATCTGAACACCTAAATGGCAAGGGAATACCCCCCCCCAAAAAAAAAAAAAAAAAATATATAATATATAATCAGGATTCGTTCTTTTATCATTGTTTGTATAAGTCTATCGGAGCTTTTAGGAATGTTCGAGTTAGTGGTTTTTTGTCGTTCCATGCACTAACTTTTACACAAAGAGCACTTTAAAAAGAGTGTTAAAGACGGAGCACTTTACATCTTTACATTCGAGCAATTTACCCATTATCATATGGATGATTATCATTAGTGGTGGTTTGTTCTTTTTGTGTTTTATAGAATCTCATTTGTATTGCCAAGAGACTGTGTTCAAACTTCATTGTATAATAATAATTAGTGCTTCATGATCTGATGAAACGTCAATGCTATTTTATTACGACATAAAAGTGCAGTTTGTGTCAGTGGTAAAGTATTCTTAGGGTCTATAATACAAATATACACACATGTATACATATACAATGTATTTACTTATACATGTACATGTAAATACTCATACACATATATATATATACATATGAATATACATATCTGTCTGTGTTCTCGAGTAATGAGTTTGTACTTCAGATACGAATAGAACTAGTGAACAACGAAAAAAAATATTGTAACGTCGATGTGTCGAAATTTGTTTGCATGGCAATTTATGACATTATTTACTTGTTTTACGTGTCAAGTTTATTTTATTCTATAATTCACAATCATAACCTAAATAAATCGAATACAATGAAGGAATGCAAAATTTCGATGAAAACTATGTACAATATATGACCTCCTGTCATATAAGTAATTCAAGAAAAGGCAAACGTATACAGAAAGATAAAAATCAATATTTCATCTTTCAAACTTAAAGTAAAACAATATGGTTTTGGTGTGAAATATGAGGTAATCTAAAGTAAGATGCTCGGTTTATAAATTGTTAACTATACAGTGCGTTCCAGCAAAAAAATGAAACTTGAAAACAAATATACATTGTGACCTGAAAGAAACACACATATTAAAAGCAAATGAGTGAGCTTTTTTTAATAATGAAGGCAAGATTAATACCAACTTTATCATATCATAATGCAGTGTGAAAATATTGTCGATGGTGAGGGTAAAAGGGTATATTCTCGTTCGTGAATGGGTCTGCGATTGTAATGAACAGTGCTTTTGCACTTTCAGCACCGCCTGAAGTTTTTAAAAGAGTAAGTTAAACAATATTTAAAAAAACAAGAATCAAATTGATAGGCGCCTACATTTTGATGATAATATTGATAGTATCAAAATTGCTAATATAATTATCAGGTGGGCTGTATCTAATACAGACCACCTTATAATTTTGTTAAAATTGCCTTTATTATTTATTTATTTATTTTTCTTAATTCCACCCACTTTTTTGTGGACAAGATAACTTCAAAATGGCTGAATCAAATGCCTTGAAATTTGGCGCACAGATGTATAGGCATATGGACAAAGGACAGCAAAGTTTTCAACTTTGACCTTGACTGATGACGTCATCTAGCCGCGATTTTGTGAAATTTTCTGAAAATCAACTCATGATCATATCTTCATAACCAAAAGTCAATTCTCATTCATATTTATCATGATCCAGGTCGTTATCCGTCCGGTCAATTTCAGGTCAAAAGACGGGCGCGTGCGCGTACGTCCGCGCGTCAGTGCACGCGCAAAATTTCAAAATGCTCAAAATAGTCTCAAAATTATTTTGCATACGTTTTAGGCCATTTTAAGCATTTTATAAAAAATCGCGCACACGTGCATGCGCGCGCGTTTTCGCGCGTAAAACTATTACACAACATAGAATCGCTATTTTTTTTTCTTTCATGATATTCCACACTTTTTTTACAAACAAATTGATTCCATGTTTATCTCTTTTTGACTATTAATAACTGAATGAGCGGCCGTTTAACATAAATGTCCGTGCGCGCGAGCCTAGGTAATACATAGCATATTATGGGCAAAAACATGCCTATACATAATCCATTATAGCTCTTTGGAATGCACCTAGACCCCAAATTTTTTCTTCATATTTGGATAGAGTATGAGTCGGAAATATGATTTTATGTCTCATTTGGCCATTAAGTGTATCGTGACATCACTAAAATGGCCTTGGAACTAAAAATAAGAATTTGAATATTATGAAGTCAGCATATTTATGTAAAATTGATTGTATCTCTGTAAATATTGATCGATTTTCTTCCAAATTTCGATATGTTGTAGCTAAGAAAATTCTCTACGAGCTCAGTCATCATAGTGAAAATTACGATTAAAGGGCACATATCAGAAATTTCTTAATTTGCGTGTTATGCCTATGGAAGGTGAATTTCGTTCACATCATTAATCTACACGACATTGGTTTTTAGCAGTATCTCGCTTATTTTTGCTCTATTTTGTCTCAAATTTTAGTTGACCAGCCCACCTATACTTGTTCCAAACAAGTATTTTATGTCTAGTTATTATTATTATTATTATTATTATTATTATTATTATTATTATTATTATTATTATTATTATTATTATTATTATTATTATTATCATTATTATTATTATTATCATTACTATTGCTATGACTA